CTCCTCGTTAACTAATTGTGCCCGCGCCAGACTCCACCTGTTGACAAGATGTGGCAGCCCAGAGGGAAGACGCCCGTGTTGATTATGCCACTAATGATGTGCGTATGGCCTGACGGCAGTTCCTCTCAACAAATAACACGCATCTGCCAGCGATGGAGGACTTACTTCACAGGGGGCTAGGCGGGGCCGGTGTGCCTAAAGGGGTAAATCTAGATCCAACGCCACTGCCCTCTTTAAGTTTTCCTACAAAAGGATGCTTTCTGCCCAGATTTGGGGACCGAGGCCCTGATGCGCTGCCATACCCATCTCCACAGAGCCTGCTGCCCTCCAGTGGGGAATTCTGTCCCTTCAAGTCTCACCGCCTGCACGAGGCTTTAAGGGAACTCAAGGGCCCGAGCCATGTGACAGGGATGGCAGGAGTCAGGCCTGGGGGTTACCCCAGGCAGAAGTGACCCATGGATGGCAGAGGTCTGGGGTGATTCACGCACAATGTCCTAAGCCTGAGTCATAAGAAGACCCTCTGTGGTAGTCAGCTTTCTGTTGTGGAAGGAAATCCCTGAGCCAATCAGCTCAGAAAAAAGGGAACTGTTCAGCTCATGGCGTTGGCAGTTTCAGCTCGTAGTCATTTTGCCTTCTCGCTTTTGGACCTGTGTCCAGCCAGCACATGGCAGGAGAGAGCGGTACAGGGGGTGCTGCTTTGCTCAAGGCGGCTAGAAGAGGAAAGAACAGATGGGGTCCCACTAGGACATACCCTCGGTGAGCTCACTTTCTCCCGAGAAGCCCCAGCTCCTCCCAATAGCACACAGGCCTTGGAGGACACTCAGTCGGAACCACAGCTGCTCATGCTAACAAATCAGCTGGCTCACATGTCACAGAGTACGGGAGAGGAATCAGACACTACGCCAGCTGCCCAGGCACGAGCATCTTCTTTACCTGGGGCATACGAGGCCACGTTGGCCTTCCTGTCCTCAGACCATGCCCTGGAAAATGCATCTGACACAAGCGGACAGAGGCTCACGGCCCAACCACCCCAGCCCGTCCACCTGCCAGGCAGCTTCTGACCCCCAAATTTGACGTCTTTTGGTGCTGCAGGAAGGTGATCTTGTGAAGCTGCCGCAGGGGGCCCTTGTGGACTCTGGACACTCTTCCCACCCCATGCAGGGCCCTAAAATAGGCAACAAGTGGCCACATGAGCTCTGAGGGGTAAGCCCTACTTCTCCTCTTCAAAGTCTGGACACCAGAAGTCTGAGAGAAGGTGTGAGAAGGGCCACATCCCCTCCACAGGCTCCAAGTAGGGCCCTTCCTGTTCTTGGTTCTTCCCTCTGTGCGTCTCTCCCCTCTCTTACCCAAACATCTGCCCTTGGATTTAGGGCCACCATAGTCAAAGTTGGTCTCATCATGATATCCTTAATGTATTCACATCTACACAGACACATTCACACACTCCAGGTAGACACATCTTTGGGAGGCCCTTGTTCCGCCCACCACAGCCCTTATCTCCTGGCCCCTATGAGATGGGAGGAGACCCCACAATGTCCTGGTCTCTCCTCCTAAGGGTTGGCAGCTTGTGAAGATTATGGGCTGGACCTTAAAGCTCAGAGCTGTGGGGACATTCAGGGTGGCAGGCTCTGTGTAATGGACATACGAGACCCAGGCAAGTAACCTTGGCTGCTCAAGAGGCTAAGGCACGAGGACTGCAAGCTCAAGCCCAGCCTGAGCAATTTAGTGACTTAGTGAGTGTCTTAGTTACTTTCCTCACTGCTGAGACAAAATACCTGACACCCAAAGTTAAAGGAAGAAAGGTTTATTTTTAATTGTTGGTTTTGTTTGTTTGCTGGCTTTGGTTTTTTTGAGACAGGGTCTCCCTTTGTAGTTCAGACTGGCTCTGAAATCACTATGCAGCCCAGGTTGTCTTAATTCGATCCTCCTGCCTCAGCCTCCTGAGTGCCAGGATTACAGGCATACACAACCCTGTGGGTACACACCCCCAGCTTTTAACAAGAACCAAGATATATCATGTAAAGGTACAAGATCCCAATGATAAATGTAACTGTATTGTTTGCTTTAAATGTACCAATAAATTTAATGGGAAAAAAAACCCCACTCAGCTGTTTGTTTTTGGATTCACTATGTAGCCCAGGCTGACCTTGAACTTATGACAATCCTCCTGCCTCAGCCCAAGAGCTGGGATTATAGGTGTGCACCGCCATGCCCAGCCAAAGGAGGGAAGGTTTATTTTAGCTCAGTTTGCGGAAGTTTCAGTCCATAGTTGGCTGGCTCCAAGGCAGGGTGGTATGGCAGAGGGGCGTGGCAAAGGAGAAATAATCCACGGCAGAGCATGCAGAAGGCAGGGAGCAGCAAGCAGCAAAGCAATCCTTCCCTTCCCATTTATCCCATCAAGGCTATAAACCTTTTGAGTGGTGCCACCCACATCCAAGGCGGGCCTTCTATTATCCACAGCCATAACTGTACTAAACCAATTTAGCTATCACACATTCTTAATACCAGTATCACACACCCTAGATGCACCCATCTCTGAAAGGCCTCACCTATGAGTGCATGAGGCTTTGGTGGCCATCTAGATATAAACCAACATGGGGCAACCAACATAGGGCAACCAACATAGGGCAAAACTGATATTACCCACAAAGGGGACCTGGGCTGCATGCCCAGCCTTGGTGGATAGTATGGGCAGTAGGATGCTAACACTTCCACCCAACTGCAGACAGGTGGCTGTAGGCAGAGGAAGGGAACTGCAGCCAAGGCATCATGCTAGCCCAGGGAAGGGTGCCCACAGAAGTCATATATCACAGCAGCCCCAAGGTTCTGCCAGCCTTGTTCAGTGTCCCCAGATGGCCCCCGTGTTCTCCCTCCCCCTCCCTGACGTGTGTAAACCCTGGTGTTCCCAGCATCCAGCTTAGGGACTTGCACATGGGAAGCTCAAGGTAAATACTCACTAATGATGATGATGAAACAATTCGCAAAATAGGAGCACAGGGACCCAGAGGCACCAAAGCAAGGATCTGCAGAGAAATGATTAATGAGAGATTATGAGGTGTGTGTGTGTGTGTGTGTGTGTGTGTGGTGGGCGGGGGGTAGAGGAGCCTGCCCAAGAGCAGCAGAAGAACCCGCTGTGTGTGTGTGTGGGTGGGTAGAGACTGTGCAAAGAAAGCCCTGGTTCTATTTCTGAACCAGAAACTGGCTCTGCGGTTGGGGGGCAGCTCAGTGGTGAGTATGTGCCTCCTATTCATAGGGCCCTCAGTTCCATCCCCAGCACCACAAAAATAAAATATATAAAATCTGGCTGTGCTGGCCACCCTGGTACAGTTCAGGGGATTATAGATCAAAGGCTTGAGACTAGATATCCTGGGTGTTCGTTGTGGCTGCAGGTGCCTAGGTGCACTCTACTTTTGTTTTATTTTTGTTGCTGTTTTGAGACTGAATCTCACTGTGTAGTTTAGATGGGTCTCACTATGCAGCTCAGACTAGCCTCAAACTGGTGTCCATCCTCTGGCCTCAGCCTCCTGAGTACTAGAATTACAGGCATGGGCCACCATACCTAGCTTCTTTTCCTCTTTTCCTCTCTCTCTCTCTCTCTCTCTCTCTCTCCCTCCCTCTCCTCCCCCCTTCTTCCCTTTCTCTAGGTTTACGATTGCAATCCTCCTGCCTCAGTCTCCCTAACTGCTGGGATTATAGGCATGTGCCACCAGGCTAGCTCTACCTTCTTTATTTCTTTGAGACGGGGTCTCACTAAGTGCAATTCAGGCTCTCCTTGAACTGATTATGTAGCTCAGGGTGGCCTTGAATTCACAGCAGTCCTGCCTCAGCCTCTTGAGTGCTAGGATAACAGACATGTGGCACCACACCCAGCCCCTACCCTTTATTTAACAACTTACTGAATTATAAACTCACAAAACATATAATTCACCCATTTCAAGTGTACAATTCAAGCCAGGCATGATGGTATATGCTGTAATCCACTTGGGAGGCTGAGGCAGGAGCGCGGCAAGTTCGAGTCCAGACTAAGCAGCTTAGGAAAACTCTGTCTCTAAATTTAAAAAATGAAGAAGGGCTGGGAATGTAGCTTAGTGCAAAGGCCCTCGGTTCGGCCTTCAGTATGGAGTGGTGGTGGTGTTGGGAATTAGACACACAGGAGATCAGGGCCTCAGAAATGTGGGTTTACCACGATGATTCCAGGTTAGGCCTCCTGCGGCCACAAGACTGGGCCAGGTGGAATCTGGGGATAAGCCAATCTCAATACCTGGAGTTTTCTGGGAAGTCCCCCAAAAATATGTTATCAAATGCATATCTGGACATGATATGGCTTATTCGGGCTTAACACCCGAGTAAGACCAGTGACAGTTCTCTTTCAGGCTATAAATTTTTCGGAGAATACAGCTTCCTTGGGCTGGTCTCTAAGATAACAGGACTGGGGTATTGGAGGCCTGGGCTGAGGGGAGACACCCCTGAGTCACGCTCAGAGCGAAGCCAAGGGACGTGAAGCAAAGCCACAAGGACATGAAGAATTGCATCCTGCCCTTAAGTTTTCTTCACCCCCTGAATCTACTGAGTCCGAAACCAGGCACTCACTGTGCGCCAGTGACATCCACGGTTCTCAGGCTGTACGGTGAGCCGACTAGGGCAAGGCAGAGTCTCTAGGAGCTCCAGGGTGGTCCCCTGCAGCCCACACCTGGCTGGAGGATCTGCAACGGATGATTAGACAAATGGACAAGTCTTTGCAAAGCCAAAAAGACTCTGGCGCCGAGCTGCGTCGTTGTTCGTCTACACTGCCCCTTTGCACCGCGACCCAAGCCAGAGCTGAAAAAAGGTTTGGTCTTCAGTGTCCGCTACTCGGGACACGAGAGTCGCTGTGCTCCAGATCGCCAGCAGAAGGCGCGCACCATTCAGCCCATCCGTCCTGGGACAAGACGGGCATGCGCAGAGAGGGATGCTTTCCGGCAGCGTGGCGGAACAACCTCTTCCTTTCGCGCTATTTGGCGACACCTGCACGCGATACCCAGCGGCAGTGCGGCCACCATGGCGTCTCCTTTCAGCGGGGTGTTACAGCTGACAGACCTGGATGACTTCATCGGGCCCTCTCAGGTGGGCCGGCGGGGGCAGCCATGCTGGGGAAAACCTGCCTTCGCTTGCTTCTTCTGCGGAACCCGGCCTTGGCCTTGGGGCCTCCTCACCCGGGGCCTCCGGAGGTCTGTCCGCCTTCTTGAGGCCAGGGAGGGCCGAGCTCTCAACCCGGTTATTGTGCCTAGGATGTCCAGAGTGACTGAGAAGGGTTCAGAGATCGCAGGCTCGCGTGAGCTCACACGGCCCAGTGGAGACACATGGGGGCTAGTTATTGTTCTGCCCTCACAGCCACTGCCCCTTAAGTGGCTTTCTGCTGAGGATGCAGAGGCAGGAGTGGAGCTGGCCACTTCTGCACACCTATGGGCATGCCCTGCCGGCCTTCTGGATTTGATGGTAGAGGGGGTGTTCCACAGGGGGCACCACAGGAACTGCTCAGTGATGTTGACCTGGACCTAACCCCACAGAGGATGGCAGAGCTTGCACCTGCAGGGGACCAGTCACACCTGGATGTGCCTCTCTGAGCTCTGTGTGGCCATAGCCAAGGAGACCCAGACAAGGAGGGGCACTGACCCGCTACCCAGGCATGATGAATCACCTCCTGTCAGGGCTTGGTGGTGCTAGGCACTCTCAGGAAGGCAGTGGCCACTATGGTTCTTGTAGAATGAGGAAAGAGAACTCAAAAAGATGGGGAAGGACCTGTGCCTTTCCCCGGGTCAGTGGGTGGGAGGTGACCTCCAAACTTACAAGAAAGCATTCCTGCCCAGCCCTTGGCTTCCTTTCAGTAGCACTTAACACTGGCCTCTATGTGATGCCTGCTGTCTGCACTTAAGATAAAGGTCAAGTTGGTGGTTTGCAGATTTGTAGTTTACAGGCCCATTTGGCACTGGCCTTCATGTTAGAAATCAGTGTCCAGCGTAGCAAGGAAAAGCAGCTGGAGTTTAGGGTGGCTTCAGCGCAAGATGGTGAAATTGGCTTCCGTTTTAGAGTGCAGCTCAAGGCAGAGTGTCCTGTCATGTGGCCAGCCAAACTTGAGGACTGGCTTCCTTGGAAGCCTCTGCTCCTTCACAGGGTCTGGTTTGGGGTTTCTTTCCTTGTAGGATTGCATCAAGCCCATGAAGGTGGATAAGAGGCCAGGAAGCACTGTGGCCAAGATTCAGATTGAAGATGATGGGAGTTACTTCCAAATTGATCAAGTAAGACACAAGAGGCTTCACCACAGCCCAGCTGGGAGGGTCTGAAACACACCTTATCTGCCTTACCCAGTCATGAATGTGATGACCTTCAGACTTCCCACATTTCACCAGTCCTTTCTCACTGGTCAAATTCACTGACCATTGTGGGAGCTAGGGCCAGAGTGTCTGGGTAGAGTAAATGGGTCACCTAGGCTGAGGAGGAGTTTGGCTGTTTCTCACAGGGACTTTTTTGCAGAGATGGTAGGTCTCATCTTAGTTCTAGTTGTGTAAGACTTTCTGGTCCGGCCCCTTACTCTTGGAGTACACCCACTTCCTCTCTGGTTAAGAGACAGTAAGATCCTGATGTGATGATGTTAAAATTCACCATTTGGACTTTAGAGAACATCTTCTAAGCCCCATACATTGCTGTGCTGAAAAATAATGCCCTGCCCAGCCCCACTCCGGGAGCCTGGTCTAGCAATCTGCCCCGAGTAAGGCAAGAGCTGCAGGGTAGTCCGTGGTGTGAGGTGTACAGATCTCTGTGAAGGACAAATGAGCAGTCACAGGAAGAGCCAGTCCAGGAAGGTATTCGTGTAGTGTACTGTGGCACCTGCTAGAGTCTGAGCAGAAGGAGAACTTGGTATCAGGAGGTGTCCTACAAATGAAGGGACTCAGGGAAGGTGCTAGGGCACAAGAGGTCATGTTGTTCATTGCGGTAGCAGCTGATGAAAAGGGGTTATGGTAGCTTCACTCCACACAGCATCATAACCCAGGTTCGTTGGTATTCTCTAGGGAACCACTTTGAAAAGACTTGAAGCCTAGCAATCTTTTCTTTAAATTGCATGCTGGGCCCCAGCAGCTCTCCTGGCCCTGGCTCAAACCATTCCTATATTTGTAGAGGAAATGAAGTGTTCAAGCTGAGATCATTCTGTATTAAAAAAGCCATGAGGTTGTCCTGCCATCCCCCGCCCCACTTGAACTGTCAGTATCCACAGCCTGTCCCTATCTACCTATGAGTGTGCAGCTTGGGAAACAGCAACCCCTCCAGGACCCCTTAGGTGGGCAGGTCCTCTGTTTCTGTGCTGATTGAATACATTCAGGCCTCATTCACACAATTCTGATGTGTTAGCCAAGTTAGAATTACATGTCAGTATGAAAATTTAGGATATGTATGAGCATTTATGTAATAGGTATTTAGTTTTTAAGAAACTGAATACCACCGGGCATGGTGGTGCATGCCTATAATCCCAGCACTCGGGAGGCTGAGGCAAGAGGATCACTGTGAGTTCAAGACCAAGTGGTGGTGCTGCATGCCTATAATCCCAGCACTCGGGAGGCTGAGGCAAGAGGATCACTGTGAGTTCAAGACCAGCCTAGGCTACATAGTGAGTTCCAGGTCAGTCTCAACTACATAGTGAGACCTGTCTGAAAAAAAACCAAAAAAGAAAGAAAGAGAAAGAGAGAAAGAAAGAAACTGAATACCATATTGGTCAGGGGTGGTACTTAAGAATGGAAGAGTAAAGGGTCCTGTGGAGTCCTTGTTCCTTCAGAGGGACCCTTGTTCTGTGTCCTCCCTCCCCTGTAGGACGGTGGGACCAGGAGGCTTGAGAAGGCCAAGGTCTCGCTGAATGACTGCCTGGCATGCAGTGGCTGTGTCACCTCAGCAGAGACCGTACTCATCACCCAGCAGAGCCACGAGGAGCTGCGGAAAGTTCTAGATGCCAATAAGGTACATGATGGAGATTGACCCCAACACTCTCAGGTGCGGTTCACTGGGGCAGCTACTTCAGTGCTGCTCATCCTGTCTTCTGGTGACTCCTGGGTCTGAGTTTTCTTATGGGCTCTTGGTGACTTGTTGGCATTGTCTGACATTGAAAGTTCCAGGCCCTAACCTTCAGGTTCTGAATGTATACCAGTGTCAGGCCTTGATGGGGCTACACATTCTCTCCAGACCAGTGACATCTGGCTGCACCAAGTTGGCCACCAGGAATCTGCATAGAACCTGTGGAATAAGCAACTTGTCTCCCCTGCTTTGCAGACAGTGCCACCGGATCAGCAGCGGCTGGTTGTCCTTTCAGTCTCACCCCAGTCCAGGGCATCACTGGCTGCACGGTTCCAGCTAAGTCCTACAGACACTGCCAGGAAACTGACTTCATTCTTTAAAAAAATAGGTAGGCACAGAACCATGGGTGAGCACCACAGCTCCACAACTGGAGGGTGTCTGGGGTTAGCGGCTCTTCCCACCTCTGAGTCACAAGCTACTCAACTCTGAACTTAAACACTATCCTGAATCTGACTCCAGATTGAAGTTGTACTTTCACAGTTGAGAGCGATGCCTTAAAAAGGAGCCATCTGAACTGGGTGTGGGGGTGCATGCCTATAATCTCAGCATTTAGAAGGCTGAGACAGGATCACAATGAGTTTGAGGCCAGCCTAGGCTACACAGTGAGTTCAAGGCCAGCCTGAAATACATAGCAAGATCCTGTCTCAAAACAGACAAACACAAAAATAGAAAGAAGCCACCTGAATTGTACCTTAGTATTTTCCCTGAGCCTATAAGGTTTTTTTGTTGTTGTTGTTTTGTTTTGGTACCAGCAATCAAACTCAGGACTTTCTACTTGCAAGGCAGGCAGCAGCACTACTGAGCTAAATCCCCGGCCCGCCTATAAGTTTTTTTAGTTAACTGTTTTTAAGACACATTTTCCAGATCTGTGTTGGGTTCAGGTTCAAGTCAGCTTGGGTTGAATTCTGCCGCAGGAGCTGGGCTTGAGTAGAACATGGATGTTTTAAGAGCCCCCAACTAAATTGGGGTTCCGATGTCGGAGCTGCTGGCACTCTCCTGCCCTAAATGGAAAGAAAAGGAGGCCGGGTTTGGGCCTTATATCCTATTGGTGGAATGCGCCGTTCACCTGACAGGCAGCCTGACTCCTAGTTCTCCGCCTGTTACCAGGGTGACTTGGTAGATGCCGTGTGGCTCCCATCTGACCTATATCTGTATCTGGGTTGTGCTGCCCAACCATCACTCTGATGCTGGGACCTTGAGTTCCCAGTGTCAAGGAAAACCAACCTGGGGCAGCCCCTAGTTCTGACGGAGGATTAAAGTTCAGCACCACACCACCACAGAAAACAAATTCAGAGGTTTTTCTTCCCAGGTCCGGGGCAGGGAGGGTGCAGCAACTTAAGAGGGTAGTCCTTTTCTGAAGTCCAAACAGATTTCCTGCAGGGAGTTTTACACCAAGTTGGCCACCAGGAATCTGCATAGAACCTGTGGAATAAGCAACTTGTCTCCCCTGCTTTGCAGACAGTGCCACCGGATCAGCAGCGGCTGGTTGTCCTTTCAGTCTCACCCCAGTCCAGGGCATCACTGGCTGCACGGTTCCAGCTAAGTCCTACAGACACTGCCAGGAAACTGACTTCATTCTTTAAAAAAATAGGTAGGCACAGAACCATGGGTGAGCACCACAGCTCCACAACTGGAGGGTGTCTGGGGTTAGCGGCTCTTCCCACCTCTGAGTCACAAGCTACTCAACTCTGAACTTAAACACTATCCTGAATCTGACTCCAGATTGAAGTTGTACTTTCACAGTTGAGAGCGATGCCTTAAAAAGGAGCCATCTGAACTGGGTGTGGGGGTGCATGCCTATAATCTCAGCATTTAGAAGGCTGAGACAGGATCACAATGAGTTTGAGGCCAGCCTAGGCTACACAGTGAGTTCAAGGCCAGCCTGAAATACATAGCAAGATCCTGTCTCAAAACAGACAAACACAAAAATAGAAAGAAGCCACCTGAATTGTACCTTAGTATTTTCCCTGAGCCTATAAGGTTTTTTTGTTGTTGTTGTTTTGTTTTGGTACCAGCAATCAAACTCAGGACTTTCTACTTGCAAGGCAGGCAGCAGCACTACTGAGCTAAATCCCCGGCCCGCCTATAAGTTTTTTTAGTTAACTGTTTTTAAGACACATTTTCCAGATCTGTGTTGGGTTCAGGTTCAAGTCAGCTTGGGTTGAATTCTGCCGCAGGAGCTGGGCTTGAGTAGAACATGGATGTTTTAAGAGCCCCCAACTAAATTGGGGTTCCGATGTCGGAGCTGCTGGCACTCTCCTGCCCTAAATGGAAAGAAAAGGAGGCCGGGTTTGGGCCTTATATCCTATTGGTGGAATGCGCCGTTCACCTGACAGGCAGCCTGACTCCTAGTTCTCCGCCTGTTACCAGGGTGACTTGGTAGATGCCGTGTGGCTCCCATCTGACCTATATCTGTATCTGGGTTGTGCTGCCCAACCATCACTCTGATGCTGGGACCTTGAGTTCCCAGTGTCAAGGAAAACCAACCTGGGGCAGCCCCTAGTTCTGACGGAGGATTAAAGTTCAGCACCACACCACCACAGAAAACAAATTCAGAGGTTTTTCTTCCCAGGTCCGGGGCAGGGAGGGTGCAGCAACTTAAGAGGGTAGTCCTTTTCTGAAGTCCAAACAGATTTCCTGCAGGGAGTTTTGGTTGCCAGATTTAGAGCACACAAGCACAAGTTCCAAAGAATCTCGCTGTGCTGAGAGATGCTCTCTGCAGCTCGTTATACAGCCCATACCAGGCAGGTGGGGGTGATTGTCCTGTGGGCAGTGTGGCTACTAGGAGGTAGCTGTAGGAGGCAGACCTCTGGAAGCCCCAAACTAAGCAGCTGAAAGCAGGTGGAGAACCGAAAACGATGTCCAGGGGACTGAGCTCTCCCTATAGTATGAGTTAAGCAATGCTCAAAATGGGTATTCAGACAAAATTAAAGGAATTCACTACAGTAGGGTTGATACCTTGTGGGAAGCAGCCCCCCTCCATAGCACTTGGACTGTCCATTGGCACAAATTGATATGTAAAACAAAACAAAAAAACTGATATGTAAAACTGATTCCATGGGCTGCCATGGAAACATCTGAGGTGCTGCTGGAGGGCAAATCTCTGCTTGAGGTATGTGTGTGCGCATGCATGCATGCACGTGATCATTGCTGCTGCTGCTGGTAGCCCAGGAGAGGCCACTGTGATGCCAGTTTTAGCCAAGGCTGGGGTCAGGCATACGCATGCCCTCCATTGCCTTCTAGGGGCACACTTCGTCTTTGATACCACCTTCTCCAGAAACTTCAGCCTGCTTGAGAGCCAGCGAGAATTCGTGCAGCGATTCCGAGGACAGACTGACTCCGGAAAGGCCTTGCCTGTGCTGGCTTCTGCCTGTCCAGGTGTGCTCATGACTATAGACAGTGTGAGATTCAAGTTCAAGGGAGGTTAAATCTTGACATGATGCCAACAGCTTGAAATGGGAAAACAGGAAAGATGGTGGGAGGAGGCAAGAGCAGGTTAGAAGTATCTGCACCCGTTAGGCTGTCGGAGGAGGAGGTACCCTGGGGCTTAGGGAGTCACCTGCAGTCACCAGCTCCTGATAGCAATCACCTGGATGCTGACACTCCACGTGCTGGTGGTGGTGACAGAATGGGAATGGTTTTTAATGCACTGCAATTTCTCTGTATGAGTTGGTCCACCCCCAGAATGTCATGTCGCGCCACGTGGAGAGGCTGTCTGTGCACCACCCCCATGCCTGCCCTGTGCCCCTTACCAAGTCGTGTTCCTGTCGGCTCAGGTTGGATCTGCTATGCTGAGAAGACCCACGGCAGCTTCCTCCTCCCCTACATCAGCACAGCCCGGTCCCCACAGCAGGTCATGGGCTCCCTGATCAAGGACTTCTTTGCCAAGCAGCAGGTAAAAGCTTTGGGCCATCCCCATGCAGCACACTGGGGCATGGCTAGCTGTGAGCCGTGAGCCACAGGTGGCCATGCCAGCCCATTGCTGTGCAACTATAGGAGGTTAGAGCCCTCATTTGTGGCCACAGCGCCTTCTGGAGGTGTTGGGGGTCACACAGAGCTTGGTGGACACTTCGTCCAGAGCCAGCCTCGCTCTCATTCCTGTTCAGACAGCCTACTGCTGCCAAAGCTGTTTGTCTTCTGCTGGTCACCAGGGGGCCCGGTTCTGACAGAGAGATACTTGTCACTTGCCTAGAGGTAGCCAGCCCACAGGGTCTGAAAGCAGTGGCTAAAGCCAGCCAGGTCAGAAGCCTTATAAGTGAGGAGCCCCTGCCCCTGTGGGCACTGACTGTGCACTAACCTCAGCCACACACACTAACTTCAGTCTTGCCATGTTCCCTCCCTGTGAACTCAGCCGGACTCCCCCGCTTGTCCTCATCTGCACCATGATCTACTCTTTCCTGTTGACCCCAGTAGTGCAAGAGTAAGGGGGGCCCTCCCTGGATATCAGGGACCTGGCCCGGCGCCTGCAGTGTCTACTGACACATCCACTGAATTGTCGGAGAGGCTGCCGGGAAGTGCTGTGTGTCTACAGTGGCTCGTGTGTCCACGCCCGTGCTTCCACTACACCTGAGCTGCAGTCAGGCGGGACTCATGTTTCTGTGATCCTTTTGTAGAACCTGACCCCTGACAGGATCTACCACATCACGGTGATGCCCTGCTATGACAAAAAGCTAGAAGCTGCCAGATCCGACTTCTTCAACCAGGAGTACCATACTCGTGATGTTGACTGTGTCCTCACAACAGGTGAGGTCACCTTGAGGCCCTGCCTGGCTCCTGCCCACAAGGCTGTGCCACAGCCCGGGGGCGGGGCTTGCCTCTGCGCTTCCCATCTCTCCCTCTGGCCAGGGGTTGGGAGCATTCTCAGCTCAACCTGCAGGGCCTCAGCCAAGGGAGCCCAGTAGCACCTCCTTGTGGGCTCCACAGTGAGTCTCGGGGAAGACAGGTGAGAATTTCAAGGTCAGCCCTTGGCTCACATCTTCACCCCGTGTCTGAGTTGAGCTGTACCCCAGAGAGTAACAAGACAGGAATACAGACTGCCTAGGAGGCTAGAGAGCCGGCAGGGGACCAGCACATTGGCCCTGGCTTGTCTTCCCATTACCCTAGAGTAGGGACAAGGTGGTCTCCCAAGGGTCTTCAGAGGTGGGGTGGTTCTCCTGCCACCAGCTGGATGGATGCCAGGGACCCTCGGGGGCCAGACTGCAGACTTCCAGGAGAGCCAAGGCCCAGCCTGAGCCCATGCTGTGTCCATTGCAGGGGAAGTCTTCAGGCTGCTGGAGGAGGAGCAGGTGTCACTGGCAGAACTGGAGCCAGCCCCTCTGGACAGCCTGTGAGTCGGTGGAGGGAGCTGGGAACCTTTATTTTGGCTTCAGATGTGACCTGTGGGATGGGATAGTGCTCTCTTTCTTTCCTGTGGCCTGTCTTCGGCTGCAGGAAGACGTGAGCTCATGCTTTACCCAGGAAGCCAGGGCAGCACAGCGGTGTCTCAGACACACCAAGGCCACCAGGGTTCTTTGTGTCTGACTTGTTTCCCACTTAGAAAAGCAAATGGCTTAAACTGAGGAGCCTGTAGTTGTGCTGAGGCCCTGCCTTCGTCCTCACTGACCAGCCCCTCCCCCAGGATCGGCAGCATATCTGCAGAGGAGCTCACCAGCCATCGGGGTGGGGGCTCAGGAGGCTACCTGGAACATGTGTTCCGGCATGCAGCCCAAGAGCTCTTCGGAATCCATGTGGCTGAGGTCACCTACAGACCCCTGAGGTCAGTGGGATGGGTTGGAAGGCTGGACAGGGCAGCTGTGTGGCTCCCTAGGTCAGCACCAGTCCCCTGGGTCCTCTTGCTCTGGTGTGCTTGGTGGGGGACCCCGGAGCCCTGGGCACTGACAGGGCCCACCTTGCTGGCTCAGCAATGTGAACTGAGGCCTCTATTTCCCCACAGCAGAGACCCTGACCAGAGAAGCCAGTATGTGCAAGGGTAGTAGGGTACCTGGTACAGCCTGTATATGTGTTGGGGTGTTGCCTGTATTTGGGTAGGAGGGCTGGGACTTTGTGCTTCAAAGCCATCTTTAGGAAAGAAGGAATCCCTTCTCTTTTTTTTTTTTTTTTTTTTGTT